TTTTCCTTTAAAACTCCAAAGGTGCCACTAGAGCAATGGTAACAAAAAAATGACTCCTACGATCAAAACATGCAATAGAGTTTCACTGCAAGACTTGGACGCTGAGGGCTTCGTTTCAAAACTTGCAGAACTTCATCTTAAAATATGATACTTCAGTAACTTGGACATATGCCACTTCCCAAAACTGCTTCACTTTGAAGTGCCTGTATACTATGGCTAGCAGTGCCAGGTTTTTAACCGTTTTTTTTTTTTTATCTGCACATTGACAGTCCAAAAACTAAAAACATGCACAACATGTAGCTCAATTAAGGCATGTTTTCTGCTGCATAAGCTCTAGATTTGAAGTCAGTGGTGGTTTCAAAATAAAATTATCATTTCTAATTGCAAAGATTGATGGACTGGCATGCTTATAACTGCAGTGCATCTGCATGAGTTAATAGCTAAGGGCACTTTTATTGTTAAAATATTCACACAGCAGACCTTCGCCTCTGTCTGTTTTCTCATCATAAGGTTCTGCCCTTGGAGAGTTCTTTCCACGGGAATTTTAAATGCTTCTCACACTTGAAAGACTGTTTGAACAGATCCAGGCTTCAAGGTGAACTATGGAAAGTTGACCCTGTCTTTGTTTTCTTTTGGTTTTTTCCATCTATAAAGTGGTTTCAAAGTCCTTTTTAGTAAGGACTCCTCCTCTGCTCTTGCACCTGGTCTCGGTAGGCTGGGCAAAATACGCATGTTCTTTCTGTCTGGATGTGGGATTGTTTTTTTTCCAGTTCTGTTAATTTAATATGATTAAAAAAGCCATATTAAAAAGACTACAGCAGTGATCCTCAAGTGGGGTGTCTAGAGACCCTTTGAGGGGTGCTGCAGGGCTTGGTATGCAAACGCCTATTTATAATTCACAAAATAAACCCAAAGATTTCAAATAGGAATCCATAGAGTCAAAAACATTCTGATCTGTTGTGGTCTTACAGCAATTCTCCTGTTGCAAAGAATTCAGACTGATTTTTCTGTAGTCAAGCAACAAGTAAAAGCTATGGGCTGGTATGTTTTGGGGAGGTGCCTTGAGTCTGGAAAGGTTGAGAACCACTAGGCTATAGAGTCTGAAGCTGTATTAGCTGGCTGGATTGTATGTAGCCTTTGCTGCACGACAGCTTCTGATGTGTTAGGCTTTGAAAAATCCTATTGAGTGCCATCTAATGCAGGTGACAGCATTGTGTAGCCCAGTCTGTATTACAGCTGGCTGATGCAGCTGCTGACTTCAATAGCCTGCTCTTTTCTATTTTTAATGTTGTTTTTCCAGTTGTGTTAAGATGACCTGATGGGAGAAAAGGGAATACCTCCTCACACCTAATCTCAGGGTCCTTACTTCTTTCTGGTTGCCAGAGGGGTCTGAAGCACTGGACCGACTTGGTCATAAGGCTGGAATATACATTTCAACTTTGTGATGCATTATTTGAGGAGAAATGTTCGAGGTTTTAGACTGCTCAAGTTTCAGTAAGCGGGTGTCCCCTTTTTCAAATTACGTAGCGCCTCCATTTTGCTGGATGCAAGTTAAGACCTGAGATTATTTTTAATGCGGGAAAAGAAGTATTGTTCTTCCTTTTCCCACCAACTTTGAGCCAGTCTCATTGTAGCACGGTGGAACGTGAGTTGCCCAAGCTGCAGGCCCACTTCAGCTGACAGCAATAGGCTTTGTGTAGCTAAAAGTCTGCCCAGGAGCCTGTGAACAGTTGGGCCTGTCTCCTGAGCCTTTTGAAATCCCTTGGCCACAAGAGTGTTTATTTTTATCAGAGCTAACTGCCACTGACAGTCTCACATTACTCTCTTAATAAAGCAAACAAAAGAAGCAGGTCTCCTATAGAAATGCCATGCCATTCTTCTCTTGAGATCCTTCTGTGGATACCCTCTTCCCAAGAAAGCAGAGTGGAAGGAAGCCTTTCTAAAATGGACTATCTCTGTACTGAGAATTAGCAGACAGTTGTGGATTTCTGAAAAGGCCTGTGTGCGCAGGCCCACTGTATCACATTCGTCAGATCTGCAAGTAAATTTTAACAAATGGATGCAACGTGTACCTTTTCTGTATCTTGGATCAACACTTGAGAGGTCTGTTTGTTTGGCAGGGCTTGTTTTCTTTGGCCTGCGAATAGTCTAATTGAATTAAATAATTTGTAGTTTTTCTTTCACATAGTATGATTATAGTGCAGCGAAACTTAATAGCTAAAAAATATCAGTGCATGAGTATTATTTGGTAGTTAAAGCAAGGCTTCTGGTCCTGTTCCCATCTCTGCTTTGATTCATTGTATAAGGTATATATGATAATTTTTAGCTTTGAGATCTGAACTCTCTGAAATAAGTATAAATGTACCGCAGATTTGTAGGGCTGCTGGAAAATTTACTGCTTGAAGGGAGGGAAGCAGTGTGACACCCTTGTTAAATGTTCAGACTCTGCATTGGTAGTAGGGAATACATTTCCTAAATGAAGCATGGAGCTTCAAAACACTTTTCCTGTTGCCATTAAACTGTAGTAAGGACTAATTGGCAAGTGACAAATTCAGAGCATAGCATGTGTTTAGGAACCGACGGTAAGGCTTAGTTTCAAATGTCCGTTTGCTGTTGACCCCTGTGTAAGAAAGTCACAAGACTGTGCAGAACTGTTTGATATACCTGTCTTAGCATAACCATTTGCTATGCTCTTCCAAGTGTTAATTAGTCTCAGCTTAGGAATTTGCATGATACTGTCTTCTACCGTGGCTAAAAACTACTAATATACCATGTAAAGCCAAATCCATCCATTTTGCACTATAGTTACATGTTTGTGACTTAAAATGCCTCTTGCTTTCAGTGCCAACTTTAAGCTTCCAGGGTAGCAGAAGCTGGACTTCATTACCAAAGTTCATTGTAATGATTTGTCAGATTTTTTTGAGAGTAGCCAACACTTGTACAAGTTTGCATGCTTTTCTATATTTGGTTTTGTTTGGTTTGATTGAACAAAGCTCTTGAAAAGTCAGGCTGACATTCTTGCTTTATGTCTGTATTAGTATACTAAAAGAGGGGGAGTTTATATATAATTTTTTAAGATGCTATACATGCTATAACGTGCTATAAAATGTATGTTGATCTCAAAAATCAAGTGCAGCATAGAGGTGAAAAGGAGACAGAAGGTTAATTGTAATTTCTTCCATCTTCTTTCCTTACTATAGAATCAGTTAGTTCCAGAAGTTTAAAGATAATATTTGTGGAAATATTCCTTCTGATAAAAACTTCTAGAATATAGTACTTGGTACACTACTGGCCATCTGACTTGCACTTTACTGCCTTAAATTATCTTGCTTTGCTTGTTTTTTAGCTGGCTAGTTAGATTATTTGTAGTCCAGATTTTAGGCATGAAACAAGAGACCTTTCAGTAAATGTTAGCAGCCATCCATAACATGGGGCAAACTAGTTCTCTGTGTTATCAGGATGCAATCACAAGAGAATCTGGAGATGGGGACCCAAGAGGTGTTCATATGACACCAACAAGTTGACCAAAAGAGCCTTTCATTTGTTTTATGTGCTTTGGCAAGAGGCACTGGGTTAGAGTTTCCTTTTTATTATTAAAATTCTAACACAAGCCACCTGAGCTTGAAATATGCTACTAACTTAGGTTCTTCCTAATAATACTTAGTCTGCGAAAGACCCTACACTTTCTTTCCTATAGGATTAGTAAATGTGTTGAGAATCTCATGTATGGACATGTGAGCATTTGCTTTTATTGCAGTTAAAAAATAGTGACTTCCAGGTGTCAACTCAATGCTTGCACAGACCCCAGTATTTTTCAGAACTGAATTCTCAAGTGCAGTGGAGCATGTTTTGCAGTACCAGTTAGACGCGAGAGAGCAAAAGTGCCTGCGTATCCCCCTTTTGGTTCCTCTTTGAAACTGGTTTGACCCACAATTTAACTTGGAGCAGCCTCACAAATCTCTTAAGAGCTATTGTGAATTTGGCGGGACTGTCTGCCCCACAACATCAGATCCTCCAAAAAAATGCGATAATGACAATGAAGGATGAGTGAGGAAGGAGAAATCAATGTGACAGATGCACTGTAGACAAGCAAAATCCTACCACCACCGTACAGTACTGTGCTCTCCTTGTCTCATCATGTCAGGTAACATTTAGCTAGATAGTAGGATTCTTTAACAGGCACCTCCTCATTATTCTGTATGTATGGTCTTCACCTAAACTGCTCAATACAGATGTTAAATACGTAGCTCAGGGGATCACTTGCTTGGTTGTTAGACTTAGGTTTTAAACTATGACTAAGAAGCAATGCTTGTAATGAAAGCACTGAAAGAGACTCCATGCCATGCAGCACGTGGGATCCTGGACCTCTGAGCTGAAGTGAAAAAATTTTGCATGTGCACAGCAGGTCAATTTATGCAGTTGCTAGCCAGAATTTTCAAAGTTACTGTTGATTGTTATGTACCTCAGCGTTTAGCATTTGCAAAACCTTTTTCAAATAGGACTTGTTTTATTTCAAAAGTCTTGGAAGAGCTTAATGTTAGTAGAAGTTATTTGTGACTGTTGACTTTGTCATTAGATAGCTGTAGGAAGGCACTTTGCAACCTCTCTGCTAGTAAAAAATATTTTACCGTGTTAATTAACACCAGGAAAAAATGGGGGGGAAAACGAGTCTTCATCTTGCAGTGCTGATTGGGTTTCGCTGCTTCCCACGTGTCGTAGGAGTTCTGTTCCACTTTTTGGCAGTGAGGCGCTTCTTTCATCATAACCAGGGAGAAATTACTTTGTATGAAAATTCAAAATATGAAACGAGTCTGAGGGGATGAACAGTAGATACTTTCTCTAGTTTTAATATATTGGGCTAGGACTTGACACCCACCTGGTCTTCTCCCTACCTCTGCTCCAATTGGCTGCAAGATACTTGGGCAAGTCACTTCACTTCATTGCAGCCTGCCCCTGCCCTTTGATTCTGTGTTGACTAATCTAAATCATGCAGTGCATGGGGAGCTCAGACCTAGATCAGGACCCCATAGTGCTAGGCACCAAACAAGCACAGAACAAAAAAATGGGCTCTGCTCCAGCAAGCTTTAAGCCAAAGTAGAAGAGGTGAAAGGTGCATGAGAAAAAACGCTGCTAAATGGGGAGAATACAAGGAAACAGACAGCAGAGGTCCTTGTGGAAAGCTGTGCCCACAGCATACCAGCTTCTTAAACATCCAGCTTGTAAACTCCTTCAGATGGGGCATGTCTCTGCTGTATTTCTACAGCACTCAGCGGGTGAGGGCACTGTCAGTAGTTGTTGCCTGTGGGTGCAAGTGGAATACAAGTAATTGTGTATCTGAAATTTTGTATTTCAAACTCTGTGACTAGCTGTCAGGTGGACTTTCACTTTTTAAATGAGACCTTCTTTAAATAGAAATAAAATCATGTGCTTTAATAGTTTCCTGTCGTAGCTTAATTTTTAAAATCTCTTTTCTCCTAGATGTCAAGAAAGACTGGTCAGATCATGCACTGTGGTGGGAAAAAAAGAAAACCTGGCTCCTTAAAACTCACTGGACCTTGGACAAATATGGTATACAAGCTGATGCCAAGCTCCAGTTCACTCCTCAACATAAATTACTTCGTCTTCAACTTCCGAACATGAAATATGTGAAAGTGAAAGTGAATTTCTCCGATAGAGTCTTCAAAGCAGTATCTGATATCTGTAAGACTTTCAGTAAGTATCAGATTCTTAGCATGCTCAAAGGTCTCTTCGCTCTGAGATCTAAACAGCTGTACAGTAGTTCTTGCTGTGTGTTAGTTTGAAGTGGCATTTTTTTTTTCTACTGACAATCATGTAGAAAATCAAACATGATGAAGCTTTAACCTTTCTTCTGGCTTGAGTTCTATACTTTTCTAACTAATTCTTGATGCTGCTTCATCTTCAGCACTTAAAATCCAGATAACTAAATTGTCTGTGTGTGTGTCTAGTTACTCTAGGATAGGGTTTGACTATCTTAAACTGTGCTTAAGATAGCCAAACTCCACAAAAGTAATTGGTAAAATAATGTTGTTGTTGCAAAACAGCATTTGGTATGGAAACAGATACAAAAATAAGATGTCTTATGAGCCAAGACTGTAGCAGTTTTACCTTACATTAAAATTGTTGGTGTTGCCTCTTAATTTTGATGCAAAACAGTACACTACATATTTAAAAAACTGAAAAAGAATGTGCCAGGCTCACGGGTCACCTTCCAGTGGCTGATCATATTGGTGATCAAGCCATTGTACTTCACTTTAAAATGATGTGCATTGGAAGTGCTGGTTCATTCTCACTTCCCCTCCTTGATGAGAACTAAGGGGCAATGGAAGGAAATGTTTTTCACTGAGTTCATTAGGCTTCCCACTAGGGTAGTACTCCTATGTAGAGATTGCACTGTTGCATTGGTCCAATATTGGATTGGCACCGATATAAAGAAAAATTGACTATATTGGAAATCAACTTTTTTTGCCTGATGTGGCCAATAATGTGAAGAGTAAATGTCCCATGCACACCTTGGGTTTCTGAGGATAGAAGGGCCAGATCCTGGAAACTAACAGTATACAAACAGCTAAGGCAGGTGGAGATCCCTACAGGAGACTTAAGATACAACATAGCAGTAGGGGTGCACCAATAGAGATTTTTTGGGTCCAATACTGATAGCCAATTTTTAAGGAGGCATATCGACTGATACCGATCCGATTTCCGATACTCAGCCCAGCAGCTTGAAGAACAGTGTCCAGCTGGTAAATGTGTGGTAGAAGGGAAGGGGCATAGGGGGGAGGCAGATGGAGGCCCCCGCGGTGAGGGAGGGAGTGGGGCTGGGGCTCAATCTGCTGGGGTGAGGCAGGGCACGGGGCAGAGCTGCAGCTCATCTGCAGGGGACAGGTGTGGAGGGAGGCTTCCACTGCTGTGCACCCCAGGAGGGCATAGGGACAGGGGGCGGCCCCTGGATCTGCACGGGGCAGGGCAGCTGCTGCTGCTGGCTGAGGCTGGTGTTGGGCTCTTTCCGGCAGGGGCT